AGAACCTGATATAACCCAAATTTCACCTTTCGCGCGATGCCTCGTGAATGGATGCCCCCTTCCGCACCATGCGTCACCCTCCCCCCCCCCCGTCTCACACCGCTCCCTTTTCCCTGATCCGGAGCCACGCTCGCCAACGAATCCTTTCGAGACGAAGAAACGCTCCAGGCGTTTCGCTTCAGTAACCGCGGTCTTGGTTCAGCTCCTCCCGGATTCCTTTGTTTAATGCCTTATTGCGATATTTTAACGCCGTTGCACTGTTGCCATGCGCCGCGGCACGCCGCGCCGCGCCGTGCCGCGCCGCGTTCTGTTCCGGAGGTTTCAATTAACCGAAATTAAACGAAACCGGTTTCGTTAAACCGTTTATCACCGCGGAAAGTTGTAACCTGCAATCCGCCGATAAAAGTGAAGTCCCGAAATTCGGTTTTAGCACAAAGGTAAATGGCATTTAATCGTCGCGGATTATGACGTCAGAGTTAAATGTCACAGCGATTCCTGCAACTTACGTCCGTGCGAATTATCTTGTGGAATTATCACTTCGTTCGTTCGGGGCGGATTTGTCAAATGGATAAATTTCTGCCTTTGAATTCTGTCACGAAATTAATTGAATATATCATGTAGAAACATAATGTAGAGCGTAAAATGAAATACAGCGACAAGCGTTGTAAGGTTACATTATACGAGAATTAATTTATGTCTGCAAATGATATATGTCGAGCCGGTAACAGAGGTTCCATTAAAATTTCATATAGAGAATTGTAGAATCGCAACAATTTCGCAAGTCGGAAAAATGTTTTCTGACTGAAATTCGGCATTTGGAGATTCTTGATTAACCCGATTATTGCAACAAACTTGGCTGTGATCGGAAAGGAAATATGGATTTGAATAATAAATCGCACATACTGCGGTTGCAGAAGCAGATAGCAACTCAAACCGAACGTACAGTTATGCCGTCACCGCGGATTTAACGTTACACGTCGCTGCCTGATTCAGAAGTGTTATTTGAAATATGAAGAGTGTGCGACGAGAGTGTGCCGGACTATGCGTCGTGTCAACGATGCGTCAGAGCGTGACAGAATCCGCGACGTATTCTGGGATGCTGCGTGACCATCGCTCGCCGCTTTTCCGTGCTGCGAGCGAGGCTTCTTTCCACACACCGAGAAACGTTGTTGAATCAATTTTAAACGTGTCGCGCAACCGTACGAATCGCCGGCGCAAAGATGAGAAACCTGCGCGCGCGTATCCGTGGACGCTTTCCCGAATTAACAATTATGGGAACGCGAAGAGCGAGGATTCTTAGCGCTGTACACGCTGCGTTCTCTCCACCGAAGTTTCACCGCGCCGCACAAGTTTCTTCGCATTTTTGAGATCCGCGACTAAATAACGTCTTAAAAAGCTAATTTCCTTCCGCGACCCCTCATTTTTAATTGCTCATAATTTTAAAGAATCTACTAAGGTCTCAAGATTTTTTAAAAGAAAATTTGAATTTCTCCAAAAATTTGTTAAAGAAAAAAATAGCACAAGATTTACGCGACAAGGAAGATTAAGATGTTCTATCAAACTATCCATACATATCGTAAATTAGGATACATGTGTAACATGTGTTTCGCTCTATCCAGTAATAAATTTCATCAGGATTTGAGGAATTAACTTAAAGTCAATAAGTCCACCCAAGTCGTTGTCTATCATTCACGATCGTCTGAAATAAGCGATTTCCTAGAAACGATAAAATAGATATCGAGAGTAAAACTTTTACAATCGATAGATTAACGGCGTAAGTTGATTTATTACAAGATTTATTATAAGATATCGTAACGCCCATTTCTAAAAAATCATATACCGATCATCACGCGATTCTAAGTGGAATCGAAGCAATAACCAACTTTGATTAACGAACAATAATATCTCAGAACCGCCGGATGTTCTTCATTAAGTCGCAGTTTCTTTCGCTAAATTTTTTCTTGGCAAAAATGCTGAATAAGACGATCATTTATGGATTCTTCCTAATTTTTAATACATCGATATACAATTTCGCTCGCACAATCCTTCATTTTCAGTTGCTTATAATTGAGAAAAAAAGCTGCTAATGTTTCCACACATTTTTTCCGAATTTCTTCAAAAATGTTTTTAGGCGGAGAAAAAAAATTAGCATAAGCTTTACGTAATTTTCAAATTCTTTCGCATAAAGCGCGGAAGGAAGATTGCATCGGCGCGGCGGATGGCGATGATAATCGTGCACTTCCTAACGGATAGGCATATTTTCGCGGACGGCAGTGTACGGTAGTTTTCGCGAGTGGGGAGAGATTTCCGGACTCCTTTCGATGAATGCACGCGGGTGCCAGAGCATGCCGTTGGGAAAATGTCTCTCGCGCGACGATAATGTCGTCCGATTATTCCGATTGCTTAGATCTTTTTTTTTTTCGTCTGACTTTCAGAAGAGTACAAATCGGTGCATCGCCTTATACGTGTTTAATTGCGATTTCTATTCTCGGCGCGCGCGCGCTCGAGCGCAATTGCGGGATGCCGATGTCCATGATCGGCGAGTACTAACTTTAAAGCAACGTCAGACGCGGCGACGGAACCTCGATATCAATTACGAAGATCTTCATAATTGAATAAGAGCGCGAGGTAGCTGAAAACGTCAGACAGCTGGGATGACATAATAATCTCCGAGCGATAAAAAAAATAAATAGAAACAAGTATGATATAAAATCATTAAAGTTTTCTTTTAGTTGTGAAATGATTAAGAAATTAGTTACAAATTTCATTATTGAAAACTCACACACACACACACACACATTTCACACATTATTTACTCAAAGATTTCAACTAAAATCGTCTCGTTTAGCATTTTTGCTAAGAACAAATTTAGCGAATGAAACTGCGATTTAATGGACATCTGACAGTTCCGAGACATTATTGTTCGTTAATCAAAGTCGGTTGTTGTTTCGATTCCACCTAGAATCGCGTGAAGCAAATGACTTTTTAGAAATGGCATTGAGAATACATCCTATGATAAATGAATTTAAACCGTTAATCTATCAATTATAAATTTTCTACTCTCGACATCTATTTCATCGTTTCTTCCTAAACAAAAGTAGGATAATCCACCTATTATTTTCGTGGATCAATCGATTGTGGGCGGTCTGCGACTTACCGTGGAAGAACTTATACGAAGCCAATTAGGCGGACTCCCAATACTCTCGCCGAGATCCTCCTCCTTGGAAACACTATGAATCACTGTGAATCACTGAGTCACCAACTGAGACGCGAGACGCGAGGCTTAAGTCGCGACGCGAAAAATCAATCGAAGGGAAAACGTGCCGGGGTACAGACGACGGGAGAAAGATAGAGAAAGAAAGAGAGAAAAGGAGAGAGAGAGAGAGACGGCCGACCGTGCAGACGGATGACGAGCGAGCGAATGATCGGAGGAGGAGGCCGCCAGGCATCGACTTGCTCGCCCGAGGACGAAGGAAGAGGCGAGTCGCGTTTTACATTCGGCAGACCTCCCTTCTGTACCGTAGAAAAACCGCGAGGCGTAACAACTGCTGGCAAGAAGATGTTACAAGATGTTCTGTCCCTGAGACAGTGCCTTGCATTGAGACGAAGAAGAGGATTCGAGATTATTTTGCGAAATACGCAGCCTTAAAAAGAAAGGATTTTGTTGAAAGAGTCTTTTATATTTAGAAAAAAATATTATTCCTGCAATAACGATAGCACAGTTATTGAAATCTTGCGATTGTCTAATTAATCGAAATCTTTTCTTTCAACTGTCATTTTTCAATATTGACCGAAAAGTGTAAAAAACAAAGATTTAAAGAATTAAATCCCATTGCACAGCCACTCAATCAGCTAGCTCGCGAACCTAACCTTTCTTCTTCCCTCGCGAAAAATGATAAAAACAAAAAGCAGCTCACGTCAGCTGCTCCTGTACGAAATTGTGGCAATTTCTCGCTCACCTGCTGCCTCAGCTGTTCCTTATTCTCTTCCCGCTTTCTTACATCGCAAAAAAAGTAGTTCAACCTATGCGAGAAACGAATCGGGTAAACAATGGGACTATCAAAGTGTAATCTTGCTGCTGCGCGCGGTGATTTCATCTCAACCCTGATCTCTCGGCGTGTTCCTGTCGTCAGGAAGGTCAGCCGATCGTCAAGAGGCCGCGCACCGTCGCGAAACGCTGCTACGCAAATTTCGTGTCGCGTCTACGTCCCGGAAATCGAGGAAACAGAGCGCGACAAATAAAGGCCACGAGAGAGACTGGATATTACAAAGAGATTCGTCTTTTCTAGCACAAATTCCCCGACGAAACAACGTCGTTTTCCCCTACTTTCTCGAGTATCGTCGTATCGTCGTAGCGTTACGAACGATACGATGATGGAAGTAATTCGGCTTGGATTTCCTGCATGAGCACACGCTTACTGCGTTTTAAATTGTACAGTATCGATCGACATACGAGTACGAATGCGTCGCGTATTTATCGCACGGCGATATTTGATCGATTTATTGTTCGCCACACTTCTAAATAAGAAATTTCTCTCTTGTAAGAAACCTAATACTTTGTCATTTACGAGAGTTTTATCATAAAAAATGCCGCAATTTGGCAAAAAATCCTCATTTTTTTAATTTTATAAATTACCAAAAGTAGTAATGACAAGATCATTTATTTCTTTCCTAAGACTCTCTCATTTTAAATGTTTAACAACATATTAAGCAGAACGTTTGAAAAATTATTTAGTTCATAAAGTATCTCAGTGTATTTCATTCATAATTTATCACCGCTTTCTTTCAAACACATTAAAACGAGAAATCCCACAATTAAATAAGCATTCATAAATAACACAAAACAAGATACTTAATTTAATCCCCAAAAAATGGATGCTACAAGACACGATGTTAAGGATTAATGCAGCCTACGAGCTTTGCGATTATTAAGCATGCTCACGAGGCTAATAATTACGCTTACTACTTACTGCTAGAGAAAGAAAAAAAAATGTACTTACGCGGATTTTGCAGCACCTGTCTGTAAACACGGAGCGCCGCGGTCCTCGGGTCCACGAAGTCCCACAATCCGTCGCAGGCGATTATGAGAAAATCCTCGGCTCCGTCCAGCGGCACGCATCGGATCTCAGGCTCGCCGCTGATGTACGGTTTGTACGAGACATCGCCTGGGAAAGAACGATAGCACCGCTGTTAAAGAGGCACACAGGCGCGCGTAACGCGCGGCACGCGGCGGCGAGCGCTAAGAAGCGCGAACGCGAAAAGCGTAAAGGAATGTTCAATTCCGAAAGTACGCGATTAAGATTGACGTCGAAGTAACTGTTACGGTTTATACCATCGGCGCAAGGCTGTAATTCAGACATTTTACACGTGAAAAACACGCCACGCGGCGGACAATTAACTATAATTAACTGTTTAATGAATAGCGCGGCTAATTTAAATAACGACGCCGCGGTGCAACACCGCCGCGCTTCCGGTTATTATGAATCTGAACGCCGCTTTTTCTTCCTAGTCTTCACGAAACTACACAGAGCACACGGCGTCGTTAATGTATTTTTATCATGTAAAGTTTTACCGAATTTAGGGCGTCCTTAGTTTCATGACAGTTAATCAAAATCCTAGACTTTTAACTAATTGATTAATTAATTTCATAAACTATGAACTGTTTTATAATATAAAATTGTCTAAAAATTACACATAATATTATATAAAGTAACAACGAAATTTCTCTTTCATTTAGAAACCTTTTTTGCATCAATATCGCCGAGAACGAGCTTTGCTTAATTAAATTCTCTGGAAAATAGAAAGCGAGTAATTACGCCCAAGTTATTTCATTCACACGGTTAACAGAATAGAATTTTATATGACGCAACTTGATAAAGATAAATAGATTAACAGCTCCAAGTTTTCTTCTCGGCGCTTCTATGCATCTATGTAAAGGTGGAAGCAGAAATAACCTTTTAATTATTCCGAACATGCGATTGTGCGAGAGCCACTCGGCAGAGCGCACCCGGAGCGTAACTGCACGTACTATTGTGTCAGCGGGCAAACGGAACCAACAGGATACCCGACACGCGGCCAGAATTTTTTCTCTTTCTTTTTTCACCTCGTCGGCTTAAGCCGTAGTTGGGCACCCGGCGGCGCCCGTCCTTACTTGGCTCCTTTACGAACGCGATCCGCGTTCCGAATATTCGAGCAATAAATTACTTTCAATCGAGAATCAAACCTGATATCGATGATTCTAATCTTTCATGCTATAAATACCAGAAAAATGCGTTTTCGATATCAGAAACAAACATAAAAATCATTTTCATTCGATTGATTCGATAAATTTCAAACTCATTTCCTTTCCAAATACACAATCAAATGTGTTAATATGAATTTTAGTAAATACAAATGTGAACATCAAAAATATCCCTTTTTTGTACCAAAGTTGTAAAAAATATGGAAATTGAAAACACTTCTGTGTGAAGCGTTCAATATACAATCGTGGTCTTTTCCACATTTTTCTGCAACTATTGTACGCAGAATAAGAAAATTACCTTTGAATCTCCAAATATAATTTTAAGGACACGCTAAGCTCTGAGTGGATATCTTGCTTTCATACACTTCGTACTTTCTGTGGGGTTATGAGCAATGTACGAATTGCTTATTCATACTAACTACATGATCGACTGTGTCACTGTCTCCATCTATACATTAATTCTGTACTGTGTCGTCTTTTGTCTGTGTTGCCTTCAACACAGCGACTGGCCGATAAATTGCTCTAAATAATAATAAAATCTCCATAAAAAAATCTGGTATCTTCAAAAACGTGTTTTCTGTGGCCAACAATTATCTAATCAGGGAGGAGCCTAAAAGCAGTCAAATTCCAAAGCATTTTATGAAAATAATTACTGATTCATTTCAATATCGCTATCTGCATTCCTTTTAAAATTAGTATAACTTTGACACTACTGATAAACAAATTGTAGATCAGAAAATATAAGAATATAAAATATATACGGGATATAATAAATAATAAGATACAATATAGTTCTAATTCTAAAATCAAGACAGGTGTTTTCACCGGTATACAAAAATAAATAAATTTAAGAAATTAATAGATCAATTTCAAATAAATAATACATTAATAAATTAACAACATTTGAAATGACCATTCTTAGATTTCGCTGTAGTCTAAACGTTTCATCGTTTCGTAATAAAAATGTATATATTTTACGACGACTTACCGATCGCACGAGATATGCTTAGGAATCCGTTCACTCGCAAGACTCCCATACAATGAACGAGAACGCCTCCCAGGTTCTGAATCCGTTCGCATTCATCCTGAAAAAAGAAAAATAGATCATACAGTAAATAGAACACATCGTACCTTGTCTCGCGTCAATCTTGCGCGCTGTCAATAAAGATGATAACGTATACTATAGACGTTAAAGGTGTGTCGATACTTCGATACTCTCGTCTGAATTCATATTCGTGCGTCTCAATTGTTTGCGATTACAAAGAATGCCAACGACAGCGCAAAATTGCCAGTTTAAGAATAGAATCGCTCTTTCTCGTTAAACATGACTGTTCTCGGAACGCAGATCGACAGCGACAGAAGATTGCTGGACTTCAAAAATTACGAGGAATATCTAGACTCGCTGGTGAGCCCCGCAGATATCTGCTATCTGCGGAGCAGCAAAACCGCGCGCCAACTAGCCGAACTCGGTTATCGCTGCACCGGCGAGATTCTGAACGAGGAGAGCTTCTACCGCCGCCTGCGAATCGTGAAAGATTTATTATTACCCGTTCATCGGCCTTACGTGCTCACGTCGGAATTCGTAAGACCCGACAGTAAATTGATGGAGGAGCTGGCCCTGCGCGAACGCCCGAATAGATTGGGCATTTTGTCGACTATCGTGTTCCTCCGTCGCTTCATCGAGAAATTACAATTCGAAGAATCGGCTTATATCGATTTCGGCGATCGACTCAAGTCGGAAGATTGGCTGTCGTATTATCGAGGGGAGAAAAAATTGACGCCGCGCAAGAGAGATCTCGCGTACTATCACTGGCGAACGGGAAGGACGCACCTGAACGAAACGCGTAATTATATACCGATCATAGATCCCGAACGCGGCCTGTTGTTTAAAAATATTCACGACAGACAGATGATCACGGTCGATCCGGCTGCCGCGTCACCCGGCGTGCACACAACGCGAATACGGATACGTTGCCCGTTTTACGAACATGTAATATTATACGACCATGTAAATAGAAGCAAAATTGTCAAAAAATAAAGACACAGTATTCGACATTATATTACGCGATAACCAGATTTTTAAATCGCAGAAAACAGTATCATTTAAATTTCTGTGGTCTTCTTACGTTCTAAGAAAAAGAAATATAATAGCGACGGTCAAAAATTATTTTTAATAAACATTATATTTGTATAGAAATTAATGTTAACCAGTTAAAACAATATTTTACTTTTGTTTTAATTTATTAGCAAATAAAATGAAAAATTTATTCGTAATTAAGATTACAAATGTTCGATTAAATTAGTTTTATATCAAGAATTATGGCATTTGGATGTAAGTATGTTATTTGATTCTATTAAAAAAAAATGAAAGAAATAAGGAATCGAGATTACTTACTTCTCGCGTGGGTCGATGAGGATTCACCAATTGTTTCACATTGCCACATGTGACCAATGAAGCCATGGAGTCGCCGACCCAAGCGATATATAATTTCTTATTTAGCACCAGCACGCACACCGCGGTAGTTCCGCCATTCAATTTCTGTAATAGATAACAATTGATAAAGTTATCAAGGAGAGATGGATAATTTATATGGAACGAGGCACATTTATGGCACTGTGCGCGAAGGATATTTTTACCTGTGTACTCGATTTCGCTATAAATTGTGCGTCCGTGGTGAGGAAGGCATCGCGCAGCGCGCGTTCCGGATCCGTGGGATAGTATACGCTCTCGGCCAAATACTGATGCAAATGCGTTGCGCAATACGCCGCCGCATCCTGACCGCCGTGGCCGTCGAACACGGCATAGTAATTCGCTATCGTATCATCCTGCAATGCATGGCATTATGTGTTACATGCTCGCATAATTAAGCTTCACTTAAGTAGTGCAATGTTATCGATTTGAATAAATTCTGAATTCCATTACCAATCAATCTTTATCGGAACTAATGCGTTGTCTTAACAAAATTGCTCCAGCATCATACATTAATTCGCTTATTAATTAGATTATTTGTGAATCTCCAGCGAGATCTGTACCTGAATATTAAAAATAGTGTGCAAATCGTGCAGGACTACGTGTCGGTCTTCCATTTTTCTCCTGGCATTTCTAGTAGCACCGACTGACACTTGCTGCGTCGGCGAAGGCGGTGGTAGGAGCGCCAGCCTGCTGTTATCTAAATATCGTCTGCAGATCTCATTCACCGAGTTCGTGATGGCTTGCATGAGTTTCAAAGGCGCGTACGCTACAGAACAAAAATCAGTCGAATGAAAATATTGGATATAACTTATTAATTAATTTATAAATTCGATCGAGCCGTTTATTTCAAACGTAAATCTTTTCTCAAAAATCTTCACATTTTTATAAGCCTACATAAAGCGTTGCGGCTGAAATATTCTCGCCGCTTAGATACTCTCGATATTAGGACAATGTAGGCAGAATTAAAATATTATCGATTTGAAGAATCACACAGGAAGAAAATTAGGTCGTAGGATCTCGGCGACAAGATTCGTCTGATTTTGATAAATAATGACGATGGCAACCGGCCAAGAATAGAAGAACGATAAGAATTCGGAGTTCTTTTCGCTGACAAGTCAGAAAAGCTGAGATATATAAACTTTCCACGCGCCCAGATATTCAGACTCGCGAATAAAGACATATATATTTCTTTATATTTAGCAGTCTTATTTTTTGTATTACATCACTTCTTTCTTATTTAATCTCTACACATTTAATACTATTTGATAAATATTCATTATTAATCCTATGAAAATAATATTTAGCTTGTATTGCAGTTGTAAAATAAACGGCTTGTATTTCATATCTCTGGCGAATATTTCTTGTGAACGTGTAAAAACTTACTCTTTTCTTGCTGCCTCAATCCGCAAATTTCCGGTTGTTTCTTACATGTTGATTTGATCGCTTGTATTACGAGATGTACGATATACGACTGCAAGCTCGGTGGGCAGTATCTGAAATCAACCGCACGTTTATCATCTCTCTTACTTCTCAGAAGTATTATGAAGCCTACGGAATATTGCGAGATGCTTGGACAAATTATTCAGAATATTTTTTAACGTGCAGAAATTTTCAATGATAATTTTATAATAATTATAAGTAATTAAAAGTGAGACTTTTATCGAATTAAATTTTCAAAATGAGAAACAATAACATAAAATATTATTCCATATTTTCTGGGTCCTTGAAATCTTATTCTACTTTTTTCTGTGTTATATTACGCTTTCTGTGTTTAAAACAAAAATAAGTAGATATCCAAAGTTCGAAAAGAAAGAAGAAAAGACAAAAAGTATAGAAAAAAATATAACTAAAAGGAAGAAACTTTATAATTATTTAATTATTAATTTTAATTAATTATTTAATTAATTATTATAAATATTCGAGACTGAAAGTCTGCATTGCCGGATATCTCTTTCATTTATCGTGCATCACTCATCGTTTATCTTTTCCGTTCGTAGAATGACGAAACGGTAGGCGTTGATAATCTCTCGGCGGTTTTTAGTTAAAGTAAATAACCGCAACAGCAAAACGCAAATGAAGCTCTTGTCTCACGACGAATCCGACGCTTTGTGCAGAATTCGCAGTTCGAAAGGGCAAATTGCGGGAGTATCTTACGTAATCGCCATCCTTCGTGCACATTTTGTTCTCGCATGATGCACCGCGCAGCTATGCGTAACCTTTTTGCGTGCTGACTTTTACACGCCGCGCATATTCTTCTTGTGAGAACAATGCGCTTTAAAAGCGCTCTATTTTTACGTTATGACTACAGTGCAAATTATGTTTGCTAGTGAGACTGGCAAAACAAAATATTTTTACTCATGAATATTTTATTTTTTAGCGAATATACAGCATGTCGCAGACCAACCGTATCACTCGTTCATGGCAAGATTCCTGTGTGGTCATTTAGAGAATCTTTATACAAATGTCGGAGCCACAGTAATTTTTAAATGTAAAATGTTTAAAGTTTGCAAAAATTCACGCGATTAAGCATGTTGCATCATGAAACCTCAGAAATCTGATATTCATACGAGTGATACGGTTAGTCTGAGACATCTTGTATATTTTACATTATTTTTCTTCTTTTCTAAAATTATTCTCGTAATAATATTAAAACAATCTTACTAAACGACCTTGAAACTCTTACCATTAAAATATTTTACGAATATTTACTAAAATCGACTATGTAAACTCAATTTCAACTTGACTTCGATAAATATTTGTAGATTATTTGAATGCTAAAAGAATTTCAAGGTCGTTTTCGAGGTGGAGTTGTTTCCGTCGCCTTAAGCCTGCGTAATCTATATCCCTTCTCTTTTTCTCTCTCTCTTTCTCTTGCGCTATGTATCAGTATGCATATTTTTGCATTCTACTTCTCGCATTTTCCCAAATTGAAATCGGCGCGATCTTGTCTTTCATATGTTTATTGCACTCTTATTATTCGCACGGCGGCACCTTGTACGTAAAACGTTTCGTATCGATGCGTTATCCTCTCAAATAGTACTATTCTTATTATTTCCTGTAATTTTCGATCTCATCTTTTCCATCGTTACTTGTTACGGACGCGGTAGAGTGTCAAATGTGTAATTCGAAATATTCAATAAAAAATTTAGACAATTTTATGGTTATTAAATATAAATATATATATCTTTTATTAGATATTTGCGTAAAAATGAGTCAAAGCTTAATGTGCGTAATAATTATTCGTCAATTAATTATTTTAACTGCTATAATTTGGGTATACTTTACACTTGTTACAGACAACTTATGAATAACTGCGTTGCTGCGCATATCATACCGATAAGTCAATCTAACCTGTTTTATTTTAATATCATCACAAGAATATATTTCAAAATAATGTAAAATATACAATTGCATCTCATTCTAATTGTATCACTCGTTAATATCAGATTTCTGAGATTTCTATGGTAAGGATATCAAAATCAATATGCAACACGCGCGAATTTTTGACAATTTAATTGCAAACTTGCATTTAAAAATTACTGTAGTCTGTAGACATTTTTGTCTCCGAATGATCTCAAGAATCTGCTATTAACGTTAATGCGGTCGGTTTAGGACATCTTGTATATTCTGTAATAAATATATACTTATATTTTTATAGAGATTCAATTATATATAATTGTCTAGCTTAAATCTGATAAAAAAATGTTTCATAAAAGATTAAAAAATTCAAGATTAAGAAACGTTTCTAATTCAAAATATTTGATTAAAATTCTATGTATAAATAACTCTTAATATTGAAAAAGAATATTCGCACGTAATTAGTTAAAATTAATTAAAGTTTAAATTACTTTTGGCGCCCCTTTCTAAAAAAAGAAAGGAATAAAATAGAAAATAAAATTTCAATTTTTATAGCGCTAAATCGGGGAAAAAATGTTTCATGTAAGATTAAAAGATTCTAGATTGAGATATACGCGTCTAACTAAAAACATTTAATTAAGACTATGTCTGTTAAAACTGTTTGTATCTGGTTTTAGTGATGTAGAAAGTTTCCACTTCTATTTTTAGGAACAACAGAGTATCATTTATGATTAAATCATAATTAAATTAACTATAATTAACGTTTATAGGGATGAGGTACTAAAGCATGATATATATTTTAGATAAGATTCTTTCTAGGCCTGCCCATAAATGCGCTCACATCGACGAAATCGGAGCCGCGTAGCGTTTCGGCATTCCGGCAAAACGTAAACATTCACACATTCGCGTCATCTTCATTCGATGATTAATCAACAACAAACATATTTACTTACGTCTGGTTGAGGTACTGCAGAGTCACGCTGATGATTTCACCGACGAGCTCGCTCTCGTTGACATCGTACGCGCTCACCTTCACCGGCAGCTGATCGTCCGGATTCACCCTGGCGATGAAGTCGGTGAAAAAGCGCGAGTACGCTCCGAGGTAGTCGCCGTCCACACAATCCGCAGCCATTGTCGCCACTCAAGTCGCGGCACACGTGCTGCGAGCAATGCGACGCGGAGCGGCGTCGCGCCACTGCACTCCGATTACGTTTCGCTTCGCGCCCGCGCGCGTACAACGCTCTGCGTATGACGACGCTCTGAAACGACGCGGGAGTCGATACGCCGAAGTAGGTCTCACGATTATCGTTCACGTTCCGGCTTCGATGTGATCGGAGCACGCGGCACGCTTGCGATTAATGTACGATATTTGTACATAAGTTACGTCATTCATTCAGCGGCAATTGACGTACGCGCGTCACACACTCAGCCGACCACTATGGACGCGCAGCACGGTTCGGTTAGGCCTTTAATACATACGCACGCAGAGCGGAAGAAGAACGAGCGGCCCGATAACAGGCAGGACGGAGAAGGGATGAGAGCGGAACGGCGGTGGGACGCGTACCGCGATGCTGGAAATACTGGCTGTTCCTCCCACACGCATCTAACGTTTCTTAGCTTTCCTTTTGCACTGAGCTTTAGCGCAAATCGACTCTCGGCCACGGCGGAAAGTAGAATACACTGTAAGATTACCAGTCGGTGTGGACGACTGCGCATGTCGGACATGCGCGATTTTACCGACGCCATCACTTCACCTGCGATGTTATCGACGCATGTTGCATTCATTCGTAACACCATTGCTCACCAGATAGAGGAACAAACATCACACGTGTGTGGTAGTGCGTATCGCACTCGTTCCGCAGCTGCGTGTGTGTTTTGACGTGAAAAGAAATATTGTCTCGCGGAAAATGCATCTCAATTGTTTTCTCTCTCTCGACGCAATGACAGGAATTTCCATTTTAGTGTGAGAAAGGACTTTTCAGGAGTGCATCACAGGAGAGTGCTTGGTCAGGATCGTTTTCATTCTTCCTTCGATTGCATCTCGCAATAAGACACCTAACATCACATACGTGCACATTTACTTATGTCAAAAGATTGTCAGACTTAGCGTATATATGTACTGTATACATGTAATTTGACGCAAATAATAAATACATGTATATACATGTTATACCTAATTTTAAAGTAATCGAATCCACAGCATATTGTTACAATATAGTACACCTCGAGTCAAGAGCGGAGACCTCCTTGCCCTCTTTCATTTCCTCATTTCTTATATGTAGGTACGAGTTTTGAAAGTCTTTCTGCATCCATTCTGGCAAAGGAGCATTCCAGTTTTCTGGTGGCTTTTCTCTTTTCTCCCAAACATCATTTGCATAATGTGCACGTAACCGTTTTAATCTGCGTTGCTTTTCGCTTTTAATCAACTCGTTCTACAATATTTTAATACTTATGATACATTCAACTCAACGTTTAATATAATCAACATATTTATGAAAACCTACGTACATATGCTTCGTCCGAATTGTATTTTCGCCATTGATAACAGTTACGATAATCAGTGTTCCACTGATTACAGTCCAGCATTTGGCCGAATATAAAGTACTGATTGAAACGAGCTCTTATACTGGTACAATCGTCGTATTCATCTTTATATACCACACACGGTCTTACCTGAAAAAGAATTACAATTAACAAAACATTTTATAGAAAATTTATACGCGAGAAAAAAGTATAATCAATTACCATCCACTGATTTTCGCGAAATTCTTTTTCCTTCTCTTCACCCATTTTTACTAGAAATATATCTGTCTTTAACTCTTTTAAACTTGAAATGACTAATGAAACCGGTTATTATTCGTTCAACATGCGTCAAACGTTTTCTGCAAGAAGATTGTTAGAAAGACCGTATTAGAAACATAAATTAGAATTAGGTATAGGTTATGGTATAGCAATGTGAGGGCAAGTATTACACAATCATCGTCAGGCGGCTTATTCGAAACCCGTTAAAAAATTCTTATAAAACTTCTCTCAACATGCGATATATAATAAATGTTGAATCTTCAATTGCATTTGTATCTACATTTCCATTTACATAAAATACTTCAAATAAGTAACAAATTCAAACAAAATGCCATGAATTGCAGAATACTACAGTATTGCCAAAACATATAAAATAAATAATTTTGGAAGTTTTATTATTTTTTAGGAAATTCGAATATTCTCTATCCGTCATCCAATTAACTTACTGGACAAAATTGAATATTACTATGTTGAAAATCTTCCAAGAAATGCTCTTAAAACGAACGAACTTAAGCCAGCATCGAATTAATGCAGTTCTCGAACGTACCGTCGTGTCAGAGGGTCGGTCTCTATCTAGCATCGTCCAGCTGTGGCTAGAAAGCAAAATGTCTGCCGCTATGATTATTTGTAAACTGTAACCTAGTAGCTTCGCTCGATATTACGCTCACTATTCGCGGGAAGTGATCAGATCACTCGCGAAACTCGTGATACCCGTTTTTTGTCTCAAGGTTTAAGTGCCCGACGCATTCATCGCTTTTACGTAATGGATGAATTTGACGAATCCTCGATCGAGATGATGCCTGTGGAAGAGACCGTAAATGGACCCGGAGAAGCTTTAAAAGCAGAGTTACAGGTAAGAAACTGACTTATCTAATTGATTTCGTTACTAATATCATTGTGAAATGTGTTCCTAACTTTCCAATTGCATTCAGGTGCAGGCATCAGATAGTCAGAGTGAGAAATCTGTGGGCATATTTACCACAGGTATAGATATATTCAGCAAAGAGGAGAGATTGAAGATGGAAGAGCGAGCAAAGCGTTTTGGCTTGACAGAGAAATCTAAGGAATCACTGTGCAATCATGAGGATGATTTATACAGCAGGTAAAAAATAATTAGTAAGATAAAAAAACTTTAACTTAGATATTACAGGCTTAATTATCATTACTAATTAATAATTTACTATTTGGCCTAATATTTTCATAGTGATAAATATTTTGAGGATGTTAGAACAAATAAGAATTTTAATCGTAAAGAAAGATTGAGATTTCAGCTTCAGAAAGATTAAGATTAAGTAGAAGAAATGTAATTACACGAATGTTAAATTCAAACTCCATATGTTGAACGTAAAAAGGTTAAGATCTGTCAGATCTCATTTCATCAATGAAGGACTAATTGATTTTGCACAAAAGTGATAAATATAACTTCAGATTGTATTGCCCTGTGCATAAAAATAATGTTCTTACTTGCAGTATGGGCATCATGGATGACGCTGAGAATGCAAAGAACGTCAGATTGAATGTAATTCATATGAGAGGAACTGAAGATATGAGCAGCCAAGATGTATTCAAATATTTCCAAGATTATGCTCCACAATCAATTGAATGGATCAATGACATTTCATGTATGTTATCGAGTTTATTTTGAAAAATTTATTACACATTGTGATTGACATTTGTCTCTAATTTACAATATTACAATATTAGGTAACGTGGTGTGGTTTGACAATTTATCGGCAGCCAGAGCTATGCTGCAATTGTCCAAGAAAATTGTGGGTAGCGTTGCGAAATATTCAGATCGTGAGAACAATGATTCGGAAAATAAAAAAGACGGCGAGACAATAGTAGATGTGGAAAATAAATCTGCCGACGTAGAAAAGGACGAAAAGAAAGAGAATTGCATAAATATTAAAGATATCGATTGTCCGTTGCCTCCTGGTATATGGAGAAAAGGAATTGATTGTCCAAACTCTAAAGGAATCTTTCTGAGATTTGCCACCAGGATGGACAAAAAGCAGGCCAATGCGGAAAAGAAGAGCGAATATTACAAAAAGTATGGAAATCCCAACTTTGGAGGTAAATATGCATAAAGTTTTACGCATACAAATATAGTGAGAACCTGAAAAGCATCAATGAGAATAATGACACTTTTGTTTCTGCGAATTTGCAGGTATCAAAGGAATTCTAACAGAGTCCCGTAAGCGTAAATATAAACAGACTCAGCAGAGCAAACGCAAGCCTGCGGTTGAGGACAAAGAACGGGATCAAAAGAATCCGTGGGGCGCATTGTCCGAGACGTGGGGCAAAAATGACATCGTGGAGGACGACTTCCTTCCGAAAAATGGAATTAGAGATGGATTTAGAGATGGCGTCAGAGATCAAGGACGCAGCAGCATAAAGGAGAGATTGGGTACACCGATCAAGTACACCGATAAGGACACGGTACGAGCGGAGGAATCCGAGGAGAGCGTCTGGGGAAGTTCGAGTAGCGATAGCGACGAGGACTGGTGCAAGCGAAGTAAAATTCCTCGCATGCGAATGCACGCCGACGACGAGGAGGAGAAAGTGCAGAAGCGACGGGCGAAGCTCCGATATCAAGTCGGTTTATCTTTTTATTGGACCTATATTATTTGTTTCCTTTGATCTCTCCTGCAAATTCTATTTTGTCTTTGTTTCTCTTAGATGGTTCTCAACACCTTAAATAGCAGCGGTGATCTGCGATCGAAGTTAGGAAGATCAAGAACGAAAACACAGTTCCGCGATCCCATTCAAGTGGTGGTCACAAACCTAACAAAATCCAAGCGCGATAATGCGGAAGCACCCCGACAGCAGACCGTGAGAGAAATACAGTCATCGGAAAGAGAAGAGGGAGAGTGGCAAGAATCGGAGGACGAGGATAATCAGGGCAGACAGGAGGAGGACAGAGAGGAGGAGCAGAGACACGGGCAGCATGTGGTCGTGGAAGAGGAGGACGAGAGGGAGGAGGGCGAAGAGGAGGAAGAGGAAGAGGGCGAACATAAGGAAGACGATAGCGAAGAAGAAGACAGCGATGTGCCTGCGAAGGAGGTTCAAGGTCCTAAAGGAAGTGTAATAAAAGTAGTCCCGCCCAAGCCACGTCTCGCCTCCACTGTGTGGGCGAGATTGAATCACGTGAAGAGCGAGATCAGCGATAGCTACTTGAAAAGCAGGTAGGAATATTTGTTGAGTTTATCTAGAATTATTTTCAACGCGTTTCAGAATCTATTCTTCACAATCGAATTTTACCCACTTTGCAAACTTCTTATTGTATTCTTGTTTCTGCAAGAGCTTACAAATTGTACGTTTTACAGACAATCGGGCAACCGTGACTTGAGAAGTACCTTGAAGAGCGGTGACCTGCGGTCGCGTATCGGAAATCACACCAGAGGACGTTCGCCGTTGAGAATAGAAGTAAAAAATGACAAATACACGAAAGACGACAGTGATATAGAGTGATTTCTACTCGAAGGCGTTGACTTTTAAAAAAATTCGAATCTGGCAAAGAGTTATTACTGTTATGTGTATGGTTTTAAAACTTGTCACTCTTTTTTCGTAACGTTTTATATATCGGCTATGGAATACAAATGTGAATATAAGTATATATAATTTACGAGCTTGATTTTCTTTTATGATCGTAAAAATTTCAATCGTCTTGTGTGCACATGCGCGTATGTTATGATAAACAATATCACAAAATATATTAGAACGCTCGTTTTCTACCTTAGCTATCGAGCCTTCAATAATGATCATTATTTTTATTACTTTTCATTTGATAACGAATGCTTCCGATAGTAATACATGTAAATTTTGATCATATATCTGTGAATAAATGTATATTTCTGCAGATAGAAAGAAACAACACACACTTCAAATATTTGATCTGATAGTTGTGCAATTGTGAAAGGAGAAAATTCGAAAAATCTCTTATGTTGTCTCGAAGCGCAACATGAAGATGCACTTTTTTGTACAGAGTAGCTCAGATAAAAGTGTAATTTCGTAGCTTTCAGGGCAGCATCGTATTATTTTAAATGACAAATTGCGATATTTTGTAAACGCAATCCCAATAACGTGGGAAAAATTATGTGTGAAAAAAAAGAGATAAATAACCTTTATATGCTGCTGCTACATTTGTCTTTGGAATACATACATCTCCTTGTCCTCGAATTTTACCAATGAATTCTATCCATACGCCCTGATAAACCATGATCTACGCAGAAGCATCTCGGTATTCAAAATTGTGTATAAAATTTTACCTCAATCTAGCGCGATGCAATTGAAACCCCGAAGCGAAGCCAGGCGGAAAGAGTGTTCGGTTGTGTCATGAGTTTTCAAGTTCAGGGATATACAAACGACACAATAAGGACTCCGAAGAATTGACCAATAGAGCCACTTTTATATTAGCACAATAATAGTTGGAATAGCTGTTTAAAATACAATAGCCGATAATAATTTAATTAACACGAATTATGAAGACTTGTCAATTACACAGATAACAATCATTTGGAGCAGCAATTGAGGTAATAAAAAAATCTCGGGTAAAGAACACAGTAAGTACATTTATTTCTCAAATAGCTGCTTAGCTACATTCATAGGTTCCAATTTGCGATCTTTCTCGTTTCTCGATTTTACACTTCCGAAAAGTCCAAAGCAATCCCCGTCGTGGAAAGTCGGAGCAGTTGTACGCTCCAACAACAAATGATCAATTTATCGCTTTTGCGACTGTCTAAGTCTTACTGCATCCTTTCACAGCAATATCTATGATTCCATAACTTAATAAACAGCATCGAAAACTTATATTTTGACTTTACGCATATATCGTTAAATTATCTTTTCGCGCACAATAAAATTGCGGCCTAATGATTCATTAGATACTACTTGTTTTCTTTTGATAGTCTTCGTTTGTTTTATTCGTGTTCTCGGCGTTGCTTCATCTTCCATGAAATTGGGTCGGAAAAAAATGCAAAGAAATTCGCAGTATAAGTATACTAAACTCGTTCGAATTTCATCGAGCGTGTGTGTGACGATGTGTTCTACGCGACAAAATACTTCTTCGCAACTCTCACGAGTGACAGTTGCGGTTTCGACTATGCCGATCGTGTTAAATGCATCTCTAGTCGGTTTTCTTTTTTTTTTCTCAACGCTATGAATGTAGCTTCGACGACGGAAAAACTATCAATGATTCACAATGACACGATTGAACGGACAAGACGATATCTTTCACGATTCGCCGAAGGATCAACATGATCTCGCGTAGGACCAAAACTAAAAGGACGGAGAACCGAGTCGAGAGAAACATCTTGAAGATGAAATTCCGGTTCGTTGATTCATCGAAGAGCTATAAGAGAGCCGCTAATTGAATCGTTTCTGCTTTCGCACACATTTATCGTCCCAAATTTATCTTTTAAAGCGGAGCTGGTTGCGACGAATATAAATAGGTCCTCTCGCGATGACTTTCCGCGCAATATTTCCGCACATATTTTGGCGCGCACGTGTGAAAAATGCCGATCTTGCCCGTCGTTTAACAGGCGCTCGCGCGTTTCTCCTCAAAAGAGTTTTGTTCTTTATTTTTTCAATTCTATTCTACGTAAAAACGCTAGGGATTTTAATCAATCACTCGTCAGAGGACTAACAATTGTCGCTCTACCTATCCGAGAAAACGGCGCGTAAATCCTCCACCTCATCCTGCTGCATTCATCTTTTCTTTTTTACCCTTCCTTCCTACCTCAATGATATAATCGTCGATAATAACATTGAAAATCGACAGACGAAATATTTCCGTAAATGGTCGGATATATAAGAATCGGTGTAACAACAACAAGTACACGTACGTAACTTTAAGTATACTAGGCCTGATAATATCGATGATTGATTCTCATCGACACGGTTTAACGCGCAGTTTAACATTCCACGTTTCGCCACTTAAGCGAATTTTCCCAAATTTTCCCTTTTACACTCTCTTCCGCCCACTTGTATCACAATTTGTATGCAGTTACATATCCAATCACCATCGACAAGCGAGAGCTTCGACTTCTCGTCGGCTTACAATTTCGCTGAGCGCACGATTCTCTCTATCGTCGCCTTCCCACGATCGGCGGTAGGAGAGCGTTATTTTAAAAAGGCCTCAGATGAGAGCACTCTCTAAGAGAGAGCCCGACACGAAGACCATCCGTTGCATAACGCGCGTCTTACTTAATTCATCTTGCGCAATAATGATATCGAGTCACGAAAGACTTCTTTTCCCACTTCAACATTTTTGAGCAAAGAAGAAAGTAATAATTTGTGCAAGCTACATCGTCATGAATTTGCCAAGTGGTTCTCTGTCGTAGATGAATCAAATTCGCAAGAGGTCGTAAAGGAACGCACAGTACGCTGTCCGAAGTTTCGAGAAATCACAAGATGCTGACAATTAAAATTCGATTTAATCTTAACTAGTCGAGGAAGATCGTATAAGAAACAGAGAAACATAATACATATATGTCGTCGAAAGTAATACTTTGTACTCGTTACGTCGAATATATGACGGCGAAGGCGGCGATCCATCCACGCCCGTGGATCGCAGGAGGAAAGGTAGCACATTTATCATTTGATTTCGAGTTACACACATAGCGGAAGGCGTTCACAACGGATTTCCCATTCCCCAGAATCGTCTAGCGCGGCTATAATTTGATCTAATTCAGTTTCCGTCGCTACGAAGGATTGTCATCGTTATACGAACTAGTAATTTAATTTTTCCCGCCGCGATTACGCGTATACAATTTGCGAAGTGGTCGAAACTACTATCTTGCCGCCCGCGTTAATTTGTGCGCGTTATAATCAAGGCTTGTCGCGCGCGCGAGAAAAGTGTAAACCGCGAGAGACTATTCCTCTACCCCCTTCGTCCACGACAAATTCGCCATGTCGAATGCGCATAATAATGGATTTAAACGTTGAAGGAAGATAGATATATTAAAACGACAGATATTGAAATCATGACATTATAGTAACGACAAAATATCATTCGCCGTCGTATCTCTCCGGCGCTCCCCCTTCCGCTCAGGAGAAAGGACGAAGAACGTCGGAGCGAACGCGCGAATCACCTTCAACGAGAATCCGTAATTGCTAGAAATGCGATCTTAAATCTAGATAAGAATCTTACAAACAACGAATTTCTCTTTAATTATTAATTTATTGGATGCATCGAAGAACGTGAAGATCGGTAACAGTTATTAAGAGGAAATCAACAGTTCGCCCCGTAATTTCAGCAAATTTTTTTTCCTCCATCTTCCCTTTTAATCTCCCCCGCTTGTGATCTCGCAGCTCGCGCGAGAGCAAGATCGCGAGGGAGTTGTTTGTGAGTTCGGTAAGGCCGAGTGTGGAATCAATTAGAGGATTCGATTTCAAATGGTTCCACCAATTGACATTAACACGGGTGGATATTAGACTGTGTCACCGGAAGGCTGTATAGGATTGATCAGATTCATATACTACGTAAGAGTTTTGTAAAGATCTCCCATGGCAGAAATACTAACTCGAGACCCTTTTTCTACGTGTTAACGCGACTCGTCACTTGGCTCACATTTCATATTAGTCGGTCACCGTCGCCACTGTTACGCTCGAGGGATCACGATTCTCCCTCTCTCTCTCTCTCTCTCTCTCTTCAACATAAATTATATTCTATTATCCTGATAGAATGCGCCGAATACACTGTGGCGCTTGAACGTCGCATATTCGCTACAAACGGTTGACTATCACGGACAGATTAAATACCAAAAAGGAATTCTCTGTCACACCCGCACGCACGCACACTCACACACGTACACGCACGAGACGAAAAAGTATCGTACTTGAAATGAATTGCGCGAACGCCGAAATGAGCATCCGCGATGATCTCGTGGAGTAAACGACTGGAATAGAATTCCGATATCTCAAAGAGGGAGACGTTGCGGCCGTAACGAGTCGAATGCGAATGTCGCCTCGATCGCGCGGCTACAATTCTATAAACGTAATTTGGTTCTTGGTAAACTTGGAATAATTGGAATTAGAGGAGCGATGAAAGAAAGAGACAAGAACACGTCGCGTGTTTACGTCTCGTCACGCACGCAATTCACAATTAAATCACAGACAGACGGTACGGTACGGTACGACGATGATAAATAAAGAGATATTGTACCAATTGATATTATGCTACATTCGGTATAACATAAGAATCACTATATTTTCTTTCTTCCCGTAAGGACATGCGAATGTACAAGCGTATGCGCGGACACTGCGGTTAGGTTACTTCACTCACCCGATTAACCGGTCCGATTAATCGTTCGTTGAATCGCTGGACTAAATCTGTCGTCGGTATCCTAGTACTTTTTTTTTTTTATGTTTCGTCGGTGAATTAGAGCGTCGGCGATGAAGCGGCGAATGATCGCTAAAAAGCACGTTTCCTTCACGCCAATATCCCGCTGTTCTGCTCGTCGCCTCCTCCTTCCCCTTCCTTCCCCATCTCTTATCCGCTATCGCGAGTCCGGCACTGATGCGCCTGGCGAAAAGAAGGAAGCGTTCAATCGTTCAGCGCATCGCAACGCCGACGAATGGCGAATTAATAATTACCGATCGACTACATAGCGTTTTCCTGACGAGTTTTCTGGAACAACAGCGTCTCTTCGAAAATGTACTGTTTTAATACTTCCTTCGGGAGATCATCCAGTTCCATGTCAAACTTAAACGGCTCCTCTGCCACAGGCTGAAAGTTACATTAATTATAAAATGCTAATTTTTTATAAAAATTGTGCAAATTTATAACGATGTATCTTCTGAGATTTTTCATGATTTCTTTTTTTTACAATATGTAAATAATTAAATTCATCAATTTACTTCCCCTCTTCATCCCTTTTAAAAAAAAAGTAAGTATACAATCGTTGGTAATCCAGCATTAACGGTATCGCGATCTTTCAGTAAGCAATCTTACCTCATCGGCAGGATCGTAATACTGCTCCAAATAAGGATGCGCCAGGGCATCTTCCACGACGATGCGTCTGTTAGGATTGAACGTCAACATTTTATCCAGGAGATCCAGGGCTCTCGGATCCGCATCGGGGAACAGACTCGTCCACGGTACCTTTGGTTTGTACGGCAGGGACTGAAGGTAATTGCGGGCCTGAAATCAGAACGCTTTAAACGACACCGGAATGACGTGCAGATCAACCAGCAAACTGCAGTGCAGAGTGCACTATATTTCAGGATTAGACACAAAGAAGCGGAATGTAAGCGTAGTCCAGTACTTTTTCATTTATGATGCACTCGAGGTCCTCCTGCGAGGGCGATCCGAGGACGCCGAGAATGTGATTTAACTGATCGAGGTAGTGTTTGCCGGGGAATATCGCTCGTCTCGAGAGCATCTCCGCCAGGATGCAGCCGACCGACCAGATATCTATGGACTTGGTGTAGCCCTACATCGAGAAAACTATGTTAGATTTTTTTTCATTAAAAAAAGACCATTGTAATTTAACAACTTGACGATCGGAGACACAAGTCTCGCGAACGAACCTCGGTCCTAAATGTGTAAAATAATTGACGTATTGTTTCTGCGTTTGCGACGATTACCTTAGAATTAAGCATAATTTCCGGAGCTCTGTACCATCTCGTGGCCACGTACTCCGTGAGAAAGCCCGCGTGATTGTGCTCCGGGTCCGCGACCCTCGCTAAACCGAAGTCGCAGATTTTAAGGTCACAGGTGGTATTCAACAGCAGATTGCTCGGCTTCAGGTCTCTGTGTAACACGTTCGCCGAGTGTATATACTTCAGCCCCCGCAATATTTGGTACAGAAAATAACATATGTGGTCGTTACTAATGGCCTGCAAATGAGAATTTTATTCGACATCTCGGAAAACTCAGCTTCTCTTCGCGCAGCGCGAACGCGCGGCATCAAATATACAATTTTCTTACTTGTGTCTTCAGTAATTTATAGAGATCGGTTTCCATCAGACACTGAACAATATACACATCTTTCATTTGCTCTATTGTGGGTGCTCTTAATATATCCCTTATATCTATTATCTGCAACAGGAATAATTTATTAATAACAATGATAAGGTTCGGCGAAGGAAAGTTCACGTGGAGTCAACTTACATTTTCATGCTTAAACCTCGTAAGAATTTTTATTTCTCTTAGAGTCCTCTGACTATACGTTTGATGCTCGAACGGAGAAATTTTTTTAATAGCTACTTTCGTTTTGGTTACATTATCGTAGGCAGATCTGCAAGAAAATATTATAAAGATGCAGCTAATCCGCATTTATTATTCAGCGGTGATATTCTCTAACCGCGCATTACAGCTCCGCACAAAAGTCTTAAAAGTTTTAAATTAACCTACAGTACATCATATGAATAAAAAATAGAGCTTTTAACGAACAGCAGGCTTTTTCAGTAAAATATGAAGCACAAGAAATACGCAGCTTGCATAAATAAACTTTTGTTACAAAGTACAGTGCTCTGTATTTGTGTATTTATTTATTTATTATTCGTGTATATTCACGTTTATAATCATAATAATTTTTCATATATGCAAGTTCAAAATTTATTTATTCTCAAGGTGAGATTAGCTAATAGAATAACAAAGACAACTGAAAATTTTTATACATTTTCAAAATGAGGAAAATATAAAAAAGTCATTCTCTTCATTTAATATTAATTTTGCTGCAATTTTGCAAAGCACAATTTACGAGAAATTTCTTACGCATTTGCTCATATTTTTCTGTGTAATACATAAACTGCCATATATTTGCGATTATGTAATATAAATAGTACGTAATATTACGTAATAAAAATTCCATAATTACGAAATAAATCAAAATAAATTCTAGTTATTTGTGACGTGTATATTTGGGATCGCGTAAAACAAAGTCAATGTTTTCTATATTCCGATGTTTACATTTTTCCGTGCGAGAAGAGTTATTTTTTTTCTATTTATATATTCTCATAGTACTTTCTGCAAGTGTTATTTGCGGAAGTGAGTGTTTCAATTTGATTGCTTGCTTAGAGCAAACAAACACTGTGATATTTGCATTTCATATTTTTCGAGACATTTTGCCAATAAATAAAAGCACATTTGTTTCGTTTTATTCGATTATATGTTCTCTCTTTAGTTGCCGGAAAACTGGTATTTCTTACAATAAGAATTTATTTACAGAGGAATGTGTACTTTTAACAGAATTGCGGTATAGGATGTGGTCGTCGCGTAATATAAAGCGCAGCGATAAATCAAATTTGCTCAATTTCACACCATGTATCCAGATGTTATCAGGGCCGCACGACAAGAAATTTTGAAGTTGATTAAAGCGATATACCGAACAACGGCAATCTCATTTTTATATTTTAGTTCATTAAAATTCTAGTCACGCGCCCGGCGCAATTGATAATTGGGCGATACAACGTTAAAAAATAATTAAATTAATAAGAAACATAATGGCATATTAATAAATTGTTTTTACATTATTAATTTATGTTGCTTTTTGTGTTAAAATGTGTTATTCTTAATTAATCAAATTAAAACTAATAACAGAATATTAAAATAATATTTTGAAAATGTCTGAATTGCATTATGTCACAGCAAAACTTATAAAGTTACAAATTAGCGTATATCAAAGGCGAAAAGTTGTTATTGAGATAAGTTTAAGATGAGGTGGCAAGTTCTTTATATGTAATCATTTGTAATTCAAAAATTATCAGTGCTTCTCGATATTTCTATTATTGTTGATTATATATCGTAATTGTCGATAAATCAATTTGAAATTTCTCAAAAAATTTATTGTTAAAATAAAGATCGAGAGTATTGATTTAACAATGAGAAACTTTTGCCGCGCAAAATCATTGTTGCGCTCTCAACGTAAATTACAATATGATATAATAACTCTGATAAAAACATGAGAGTCCCGAGATAACTAAATTCAGAAAGTGCATTACGCGCAAATACTTGCTTTCCACGTAATCCGTCGCATCGATTTCCGTCGAATCGCTAAGTAATTGCACACGTGTTAGATATAACGTTGATAAGAACGATAAGATTACATCGCAAAGTGTGCGATCGCGTTCTGCTAGCGGGAGGGAGGAGAAGCGCAAGGGGATGAAGATGAGGGGGAAGGATGAAAATAACGAACGGTGAAGAAAACGAAGAGACGCGGCGTGAGGAGATAAGTGAGAAAAATACGGTGAAAGGGGCGTGACGTGTGTTTGAAAGTGGCGGCACAGGATGACGAGTATGCGAACGCCGCACGGACATCGTCGCGATCAGCGGCGACTCCTGCCGCAGCTTCCGTGCCGAGACACGAACGCTCATTGCGACCCATTCGGATGCCCGCGATGACGATCGCCGGCGATCGAAGTATCATGCGCGACTCGTTACGCGGATCGCGCTGGACCGCGCGTCGCGTCCCCGATCGGCTCACTGTTTACGCTCAAGCCTGCTCTTCGGTCTGTCAGACGATTAGAAATCGACGGCCGTGTCGATCGCACATCAGTCTCGACACGGCACAGTAACACTTACACAACCATGCCGTATGCGCCCTCGCCCATATATGACAAACTCGTGTAGCGTGGTCCGACCTCGAACGTTTGTCCGCGCACCACCTCGCTATTCGGATTCACGCTCGCGGAGCCGCCTTCACACGCCGCCATTTTGACAACTACTTTGCGGCTCCGCTCCGGCACAAGTGCACAGCAGAAATGCCTCTCGCCACAGAGAGCGACGCGCAACAACGCGTCACTGATGCGCCACCAACTTAGACCGCGCGTCGGGTGGGCGCGGCGTGTGAAAACGCGAAGGGTGGATCAGAAAGGAAGCGCTCGCGACGCCTCTACCGAGCGAAGGTATAAGCCGAGAGCACAAGCTTTTACATAAAGCATAACGCATATGGCCGGAGCACAGACTTTTGCATAAAGCATAACGCATAAGCATAAGGAAATTGATTGGTCCATTTCCTTATGCATTTGCTTATGCTTATATATAGACCAATCAATTTCCTTATGCTTATGCGTTATGCTTTATGTAAAAGCTTGTGCTCTCGGCTTAATACTGAAGCTTATACTGAACGATAAGCGCATGTGCTGTACACATACTATATTCTTTGTAGAAAATCAAAATAAGACTGTGTTCCGAAATTCACTGCCAGTACTGAAAATCTACAGTTTACGTTACGTATATTGTAGATTTTCAGTACTGGCAGTGAATTTTAGAACGCAGCCTAAATCTTCTTTAACAGAAATGTTTGGACGCAAATAATAAAAATATAATAAATCACTCCATAAGAAATATTATTTGCTGTTTCTCTACTTTGCTGTTATTACGTTTTATTATCCCTTTCAATTTTAGAGATTACTACAAAAAATATATATTTATAACTATTTGCAAATTGTTTAAATTGTATAGTATACATATAAATAAATAATATATTGTAATTTAAACAATATTGCAACAAATTTTCAATTATCGACTTTTAATGATCGATAGCGATTGTCACAATCGACTATCGATTCGCTGCATATAAACAGCTGCATAGGCTGCGTTCCGAAATTCACTGCCAGTCTGAAAATCTACAATATACGTTACGTAAACTGTAGATTTTCAGTACTTGTTCAGTACTGGCAGTGAATTTCGGAACACAGCCATAGTCAGTGGGCCTGTTCGTTTTAGTTGCACTGGGGCAGCTCTGGGTTTGCTCTAAACAAGATAATACAGGACAAACTATTTATCTGTCCTGTATTATCCTGTGTAGAGCAGACCCAGAGCAGCCCCAGTGTAGCTAAAACGAACAAGCCCAGTGTTTGTAATCATAATAGGTTATTCGGATTGTTCGCACAGTGCTTTGTGATATATTGCCACCGTATTGGTGACGATTAGTTTAAGGACAGTTGGAGTAGTTTTAATAATTTACGAGACAAAATGAACGCACCACCAACCTTCGAATCCTTCTTATTATATGAAGGAGAAAAAAAGTATACTGATATTTGTTTACTTCTAACCTCATCTCTGTTTTAAGAAATTCTTCACGCTTGTATTTCTTTTAGGATAATAAAAGAACAGGACACCAAGGTACCAAATGCTGCTATCTTTACAGTTAACAAAGAGGATCACACTCTCGGAAACATGATTCGCAAGTAAGCATATGAATACTTTATCTTCTTTGGATAGCTAATTAGTTATTGCTTTCAATTCTATAGCCAATTACTGAAGGATCCTCAAGTATTATTTGCTGGTTACAAAGTCCCTCATCCACTGGAACATAAGTTTGTTATTAGGATACAGACAACATCGGATTATACTCCTCATGAAGCTTTTATGCATGCTATTACTGATTTGATTGCAGAGCTGTCATTGTTTGAAGAACGTTTTAAGGTATGTGCTTATGATACAGAATATGAAAGCAGTATTATATGCATATTATTATAACATCAATTTATTTTAGGAGGCGATTAAAGAAAAAAAGGAAGGTTTGGATTAAATTGCCAAACTCAATATATCCGTACATTCTATAGTTTGCAGAATTTTTTATATCTTCGATTTAATTTGTATAAAGTAATTAATATATTTACATTGAGACATATTACAAATGCCATTAGGAAAAGATAATCAATCATGTATGTTCGAAAAAGTGAATCAGCTCAGAATAATTTGCAAAATAGCTTTGTAAATTAGTTCAAACATGTTTAACTATTGTAATAACAATTGAATCTTGGAACAGATTTCACTTTTGTAAATATTTTAAATATAAGTATTTTGTATGTTGAAAAATGCGTTATTTATGTGTCGTTATTTGTTTTTACCCATTATTAATCAAGTATAAAGCAACTTCCTCAACACTTAGCTATAAAGAGAAAATTATCTATTGACAAGTTACCAACCAGTGCTCTTTTACCATCCCGGAAAATGGATGTGGCCATGTGGTTGCAGGCAGGCTGTAAAATGGATGTACGTGCCGCTAGTGTACGGCCTAGAAAAAGCGTCTTACGAAAAACGGCAGCGTGGCTCCTCTCAGGTTTCTCTCTTGTACAATCATTTTCTTTCTTTCAATGGAAAAAGGATTTAAAGAATGTTGTGAAATAAAATACATTGTTTGTCGAGAAAAGATTTTAATAAAACCAAATACAATATAATAATAGTATACAATAAATAATATTGAATTTAGAAAACATATACAATGAAGAAGAAATATATACAACAATGCTGCATACAGATGCAATAATGTGATATACATACATATATATGTAATACAATATACAATTATATAATATAATATATAATATACAATATAATATACAATATATTAATACAATATTTTGTACAAATGAGAAAAAGATTTTTACAAGTTTACAATATTTAAGAGAAATGTTCCAGTGGCAATATATTTAAGAATTAATTATTATTAAAGATGTGATGTTTTCTATGAAAACAATATTTTTAATATTATATAATAAAAATTAAAATTTACTTCGCGGAAATTTAAAACCAAAATTTGTATTTATTAAACGACGATATTAAATATTTGCAAAAATAATTGGATACGTAAATATACCACAGTTTCCGGACATTATATTTATGAATATTAAAAAATTATTTTGTTCATATATTTTCGGAGATTGAGACATATCCACAGCCATTGGGACATTTAGCTTTATTACTAATTTTTTCTTAATATATTATCCTGTATTCCATCGAAATAATATACAAGATAATACAAAATAAAAATAATATGCCAATATGTCAATAATATGTCAATAAAATCATTTAAACGTTCAAAAGTTTTATGTATAATGCAAAATACTTTAGTTAAAAAGAGCTGAACAATACGATTTTTTATTTATAATCGAAAGTATCTCTTATAATTCAAAAAGTAGTAATATTTTATTAGTGAAATTTATTAATCTAAACATTTAAACATCTAAACCTTCAAACTTTTTCATAATTTACGCAAGAAACATCTTCCGTTTTTTGAAAGAGAATCTTGCTGTTTGCCCACCCGAAGTTTTATCATTATTTTTGTCATCAATAAACTACAAACTAACTGCCAAAGCAGAAGTTCCAAAGTTTATCGACAGCAAAGAATTAAAAAAAAAATACAATATAGAAGTGATAAAAAGTTTTAAAATCCTACCTACCTACCCAAAAACTTTATCTAGTAGAAAATCCTACCTAATTAGAAATTTTATACCTAAGAGTTCGTACAAAAAATCTTAAATGGATAAGATTTAATGAGATTGAATCGCGGAACCGTTTGGAAGTTTTTCGCGGAATCGTTTGGGAATTTTTTTCGCGAGATGCTTAGCGCAGAGCTCAGCTCAGTTACTGCCATTTGCATCTGAAATTCGGAAGGGAATTTTTCGCAGGATGCTTTAGCGCAGAGCTCGGCTCAGTTACCGCCATTTGCATCTGAAATTCGGGAGGAAGTTTTTCGCAGGATGCTTTAGCGCAGAGCTCGGCTCAGTTACCGCCATTTGCATCTGAAATTCGGGAGGGAGTTTTTCGCAGGATGCTTTAGCGCAGAGCTCGGCTCAGTTACCGCTATTTGCATCTGAATTTCGGGAGGGAGTTTTCCGCAGGATGCTTTAGCGCAGAGCTTGGCTCAGTTACCGCTATTTGCATCCAAAATCTGAGAGCTACTACCTTGGTGTTTCTCACAAGACGCTAGCGCAGAGCTCAGCTCAGTTTCCGCTAGTTGCGTCCGAAATTTTTGTTGATAGTCGATCATTATTCAATGATCAATCGTATCAACGTTGTTTCGAGATCTGTGCTCGACCATCATCGACGGGACCACGAATTTCGAATTTCCGCGCTCAACCATGGGATCAACACTAGAACTACCGACGATTAACATATACCAATTTTTATTTCTTTTTTCTTTCTTTTTAAAAGGTGATAAAGAGAAAAAGTACATTAATCAATTTAATTATTTAACACAATGCAACACAAGTCACAGAAAAATCTTACAAAAAATACATTATAAATTTAAATAATTATTCTAAAATGAATAAACTGATCATTTTGACCGCTTTGATAATTCTAGTGTTCTAATGTTAAGCCATAGGACCACGGATGCATGAGTAAACTAGGAAAGATTGCGAAGAAATTGACGTATAGCAAGAATAAATATATATTTCAAAATTGTAAATAAATTGTTAATAAAAAATGCACTCTTTTTTTATTAGATAAATTATTTCAAATATACCATAATTCATTAATATATTTACGTTTGTGTAAAAGAGTTTTCTTTTTCATTTTTAATTTAAATTTGTGATACATTTGTGGTACATATGTATTTAAAAATTTTCTTACTTTTGCTTTTCAACGCCAATTTATAATATTTAATCCTGGAAAGATATAAAAAGATAAATCACTTACCGTAGGAAAGGAAGAAATGAAAGTACACATTTACACACAGAAAAGGAATTTTGCTATCGCAATAAAATGTTGCTATTGCATGTTAAATATGTTAGCAATAAAATTTTGCTACTGTAACTACTTTTACAGATTATTCGATATGCAACAAATCTGTTTTGTTCAAAAAATCGACAAATTTTTGAGATGAGAAAACAAGTTAAAATGCTGTTACAACAAAATAATTTATTTTTAATAAATTTATTTTACTATTGCAATGAAATTGTCGCCATTAATACAAATTTTGAAAGTAAGATAAAAATAAATTTCTTATTATATATTAGCAATATAATTTGCAGATTTAACAAAACTAATTTTGGTAAATAAAATTATTATCTATAACAAATCTCTTTGCTGTTCAAATAATAATTAACTGTAAGAAATTTTGCTACGATAGCTTATATAAAATTTACTGCGGCAGCAAATACTTTTTTTCCATGTATTAACAAGTTTTATCTTTTATTTTATGTATAATCTTTTTTTTTAAATATTTTTTTTTCTTCTATTTTTTCTCATATAAAAAAATATAAATAAATATATAAACATATATAAATATATAAACATAAATACATTATTCAGAATAAAAATATATTAGGTTATTTAAAAAATTTGTAATAATTTTTATAATAAAATTGAAAACAATTTTTATATGTTTAGAGTCATCTTTGTTCAGTAATATATGCACCATTGTTTTTGTACAACTTTTGGCCATCTTTAACAATTTGTGCATACATTATTAAATAAAGATATATAAACATATAAAAATTGTTTTCATTCTGTCATAAAAAATTCTACAAATTCTCTGAATAATTCAATATATTTTGTTCTGATCTGTCAATCATGAAATACATTTAGGAAATATTCCAGGATTAAATATTCATCAACGCATCTAAGTCCTAGCCTATCCATTTTAAGATAATGAATCGAAGAAATAGTGTACCTTTTATAATTTTATTCAAAGTATTCTGGTGTATGATTATATTTTTAATATTATATGATTAATATTTAATATATATGGATTCAAAGGGCTATTAGGCTGATGAAAGTTGTTTCAACTTCGGGCTCAATCAAAATCAAAATTAGAAACACTTTGCTTTTTTTTAATGTACAACGCATTTTGCAGGTTACATATTTTTTAACAATTTTTATAATTATAATCTAGTATAATATGTATCTTTTCTAGATATATATAATAATATTGGTAACACATAATTAAATTTAATATAAATTAACTAAAAAAATAAGTACTTCGTTCTTTTAAAAACAAATGCACGTACAACTCAAAATACTTTTAAAAAATACGAGAGAATAAAATTTTGATATAACTACTATAAGGCAATATAAATTATACGACCTGCAAAGTGTCTCGCGTTTATATATTTTTACACCATTATTGGATCCATTATCTTAATAATAAAAGACAAATTAAACTAACTCACCGATCGATGCGCAGCAGCGGAGTTGTCGTTCTGTTGATTGCATAGTTGATCTGTAAAACACGAAATAAATCAAAATTATAGCAGCGTTCACAATATGAAATATTTGTGAAATCATAAAAAATATTGAGTACATTGAACTTTTAATTCGTTTTCTAAGCAAATATGTAATAAAAGAATTATTAAAAAGTTTAATTATTTAAATAAAAAGTAAAAAATATGCCAATAAATTTTAATAATGATAAATATTAACTAATGTAAATATTTTGTCTTTCAAATATTTTAATGTACAATATTTTCAACAAATAAATGAATTATTGCTTACCGTAAAGTTGCTCCGCCGGCGCCCGATGCTCCTCCTGAGCCTCCTCCTCCTCCTCTCAGTGGTCCTTCGAAGCACTCACATTGAATCACACGCGTTCGCGGCGCATGCATTGCTCGCATGCGTACCTGAATACGAAAATCGCGCGATACTTAGAACGGCACTCCCGACATCACAGGCGAATCGAACCGAATTGTCCAAGCTGTGACGTTACGCGCGAATTCTGTCCGCGTTTCAGACGACCACATTTACCAATTGGGGCACGATTCTCTCAAAACAGAAGGCAAAGATAAGCTCGAAGAAGATGAGGTGATTAATCATCCAATCAACCGACTAGATACAAGACATCTGAAAAGCAATCGGTAGCGTTTGACTAACTCCGGTAGCCGTCCTCGACTACCTTCGACAGTCCGGCTATCTGTACAACTAGCGCGCTGCACGTAGAACCGAAGATTGCCCTGCCGTAGTGGAGATTTTATGATTGAAACCGACCTTTCCCTCCACCGAGTCAAGCCTAAAGTCAAAAAAAATCGTGTCCCAATATTTGTCATACAGCAAAAATGCGTTCATCTATAGATTCGCTATAACTCTCGGCATTAACGGCACTCCCGACGCGCATTTTATATAATTGCAAAATTACGGCGGAATGATATTACAATATGATTACATGATATTTTAGACGACACTCCCGACGCGTATTTTGTCATATTAGGACAAAAGTAAAACTCGTATATCGCTCGCACGGAATACGCGTTCGACACCCCATCGCGTACGCAACAGGTAACGATTGGGAGGGGGAGGAAGGTGGAAAATTGTAAGGAGTAATAAGAATTGAAGTAGGGGGATAACGCGCCGATACGCGAAACGGTCTGTCTCGTTCAAGTGCCGCCGTGCGAATAGTAAAATCCAGCTCAAGCTCAAGGATAAGGTCAAATTGGGAAAAGTACTATTTGGAAGGAGTAGGGAAAGGAATGTATACATGCCGATCAGTGTGTGCAAGAGAGAAAGTGTGAGAGTGAGGAAGAGAGGATATAAAGTACGTAGGTCACAGAGCGAACGTAAACAACCCCCTCCCCTGCCGTGAATCAGCGTCGACATTCCTAATATGATATATCATATTTTCCACATTATAAGATATTCTTTGGCGTTCAGAATTTTAATTTGATAAATAATTTACTATTTTATTTTTCGCCTTCTATCGTATTTTTTATCGTATCGTATTTTTAAAATTTTTATCTGTAGATTTGTCAGCATAATCCAATATAAAAATTAATTTTACTTGATTAAAATTCCGCGTTTTAAAGCTCTTTGAGTGTTTTTCTATTTTGCATTATAACACAAATGAATAAATATATGAATAAAAATTAAATTAATAAATGCCCATGCAATAAAAATGTCACGAAACACGTCGCTTTGCGTGAACACGGCTATCCGTGCAATGAATTTCGATGAAATAAATCTT